AAAATATCTTAAGACTATAATTAATAAGAAATACAAAAAGTAAAAAAAATCTATGGAAAGTGTGAGCCGAGGCTAATTTAGTCATATTAATCATTCTTGTAATACTCTTTCAAAATTATTTATAAGAATAATATATATTTTCGATAATTTAAGTGAACATTTAATAATGTATCATAGTTGAGAGACTAAAATAAAAAATATACCATATTCAGGGGCTATTAGGATAGTTTACCCTAAATTGTATTCCTACATTTTCCTTTCTCACTCTTGTTTTTTTATTGCCATACATACCCTCGTTAATCTATCAATTATTCATGGTAGGATGTAAGGATGATAAGATAAAATTAAATTCTAATATTAATAAATTTCAATTTTTCAATTTTTATTGATTAAAACGGTATTCAATTTTGGATTTTCTTAATAAATTGAAATAATTTTAAAATAAATGTAAAAAATATTTTTAAAAAAATATAATATTAAGTATTTATTATTTAAATTTATTTTTACAATAATATTAATAATAATTTGAATTCATATATCAATTATTCAAAGTCGAAAATTTTAATATGACTTTGATAGTGAAAGAATTGTTGAGGTTCTTAGTTCGAGCATCATAAATGTTAAAGATGTAAACATTTAAAGTTAAATTATTGAGGGTTATATTTTAAACTGATATTATCTTATACTTATCTTTGATTAATATTTAATCAAAAAATATGTGTGTTATAGTTTAAATATATGGTTTACTTTAGCCCTTGAATTGTACACAATGTTTATTTAAATATCTTATTTATTTAAATCTATTTAATTAACTTTAATTATACATTGTAGTTTTATTCATTAATTTTATATAAATTTGTCTGATACATCAAATCAAAAACTCTAAAAGAATAAGAATCATATTTTTTTAATATTCTCTCACGGTTGCAAGATAATATATGTTCAAAATTTTCTTAATTAATTAATAACACATATACTCTACAAAAACAATTACTCGAATTCGTTTAAAAAGAATAATATTTTCTTTTATCTTTAAATCCTATTGATAAATTTTAAAACGATATAAATTTACTTTTAAAATTAGAACAATGGATTAAACAATCCATATTAGACATTGAATATCCATAATTTACTTTTTACAAGTTACAACATATGCTTATTATTTATGGATTATTGCAGAGTATGGCCCCGTTTGGCCACTGACGTGGTTCTTTAAACGTACTTTTAGTTGTAAAATTTGTTTCGACTGTAAAATTAATATTAAATGGGTAAAAAATGGTGAAAAATATATTTTAAACCAATAGTAAAAATTAGATTCGTAGGTTTTTCATTTTTAATTTTGGTTTGAAAATAAATTATAATTTTATTTTTACGAATTCTACTTAATTATATATTTATATTTTATTTTAATAATTTAATATTAACATTCTTAAAAAATAATTTATTACTTAATATTTTATTTTAATTACTTGAAAATAAATAAAATTCATAGTTTATATATTAAAATTCACTTTAATTTACAAACTCTAATATATTTTTTTGTAAATTGTTTTCGTCAAAATAAATATTTAAATTATTATTTCGTAATAATTTTATATCGACGTATTTAAAAGTATTGATAATATATTATCTTTAATAAAATATTTTATTTTTAAAAATATTATTAATAAATTATCTTAAAATATTTATTTTATATTTTATTATTATTTAAATTAATATATTTTATATATCATAGTATTAATAAATATAAATATAATTTAAGATTGTTGGATTGGACAAAATTAAATTCTGTCCGTATATATATATATAAATACTTCAACCTCTATTGCTGTTAGTCGAAAAAAGCAGCCTATTACACAGCGCCTTCCTCCTCGCTCCCTGCGCACTGTCTACTCCATTATTACGTGCACCGCAAGCTATTCCACCAGCTTCCCTCACATCTAAATCTTATCTAAGCCCTTTCTCTTTCTCAATATGGATTTAACTCAAAACCTTAACAATAATCATAGTACTGGAACTGGAACTGGAACTGGAACTGGAACTCACCTCTCTTCTTCTTACAATGATGGCGACCACACTGAAACGCCGCGTTTCAATGAAGACTTTGGTTCAACCTGCTCCACTCCCTACGTTAGTGCACCATCGAGCTCCGGTCGTGGCCCCTCCTCGGGATACTTCTTCAGTGCGCCGGCTAGTCCCATGTATTTCATTCTGTCTTCTTCTTCTTCCCCAAACTCTCATCTTTCGTCCGATTCCTCGTTTGTTCCGTCTCAATCGGATGCTTCGTCTCTGGAGTTCGAGTTCTCGTCTCGCTTCTCCAGTAATGGTTCTGTCACCGCTGGATCCATGAGTTCGGCTGACGAATTGTTCTTGAACGGCCAGATCAGGCCCATGAAGCTCTCCTTTCACTTGCAAAGACCCCAGAATCTAGCTCCTTTATTAGATCTAGACGTCGAGGAAGACGATGAAGGTGGAAACAAGCAAGACGCTTCACGAGGAAGGGATCTGAAACTTCGAAGCAGATCACTTCATAGAAAGGCGAGATCTTTATCACCGCTTCGAAACCCATATTTTCAATGGGAAGATGAAAAAGAAGAACAATGTAACAGAGAAGAACGGAAAGAAGTCAATAAGCTCATTTTGGAAGGATTGAAAGAAACCGACGTGTCAAAGGAAACGACACCGTCTTCCTCTGCATCTTCATCAAGATCTTCATCTTCGGGCAGAAACTCCAAAAAATGGATATTCCTGAAAGATCTTTTGTATAGAAGCAAAAGTGAAGGGAGAGCGAATGGGAAGGAAAAGTTCTGGACTTCCATTTCCTTTTCACCATCAAAAGAGAAAAAGGCTCAAATGGAACAGGAAAAGCCTCCACCTTTGAAACGTAAGCAAAAGGAAATCAAACAAGGCGCGGGCAATAAAGCGGGTTCCGGGAAACCGTCCAACAGTGTAGCAAAACGACGAGTCCCGCCGTCGCCGCACGAGTTGCACTACACTACAAACAGAGCTCAAGCCGAGGAAATGAAGAAGAGGACTTACTTGCCTTACAGACAAGGATTATTCGGTTGCTTGAGCTTCAGTTCGAAAAGTTACGGTGCACTTAACGGCCTCGCCAGAAGCTTGAATCCAGTCTCATCCAGTTAGTTCACGGTGGACGGAGCAATACTGTTTTATGAATAGTTCCTTAAATTGTATAATACTGTTTTATGTATTAATTTGATCTTTTTGTGGTAAGCCTATAGTTACAAAGAAGCTATGTTATGTATTTAATCAACATTGTTAAAGCTTCTTTTCGTTGTGATTCCGGATTTAGACTCTGTGTTCATGGTCTGAAATGACTGTTGAACAATAGCGACATGTTTAGGGCCATTGTCTACTTTTCGTAGGGTAATGTTTGGATTTACGTAAGTTGATCGATGTGTGTGGGGTATTCGGCATGTATCACCGTTCACCACTCCTTTCCAAAGATGTGATTTGTTATTTCAGGTCATTTTTATCAAATGTGCAAGTACCTGTACCCATGGTATCAAAGGCAGATGACCCACATGGATTACGTTCTTATTTGTTAGTTGAGCTGTAATTCTTTGTTATTATCTGAGTAATGAACTTCCATCAGACCCACATGGGTTAGGGGAGAGGAGACCTTGAGTGGTTTGGTAGTAAAGATAATGACCCATTTTCCGTTGTGTTTGCCGGAGGTTGAGGGTTAAATTATGCTTAAATTAAAAGATTTAATAAGAAAATAAACGTTCAATCTGCAGGCGTTTTTATCTAAAAACCACCCATTTTTCAAAGAATGGTGCCTTATATGTTACCCACTAACCCCTGACTGATCATAACTCTTACTATAGTCTCAAAATTCAAAAATTTTAAACTCCTATAGTTCAATCTTTAATCTCTGAAATCCCAACCCAATTCTTAAATCTTAATAATAATCATCGGCCGCCCTTAATCTGGAATATAAAGTTGTCGACCCGTCGGCCACCATTACTTTTATTTATTGTTCTAATTGGGGTTTCAAGGTTGTTTCAGACTTTCGGTCGGGGGTTTGGGGAGAGAGGGAGGGCACGAAGGGGTGAGGGGAGGGGGCATGTGGGTTTTGGGGTGGGGGTGGGGGTGGGGACGTGAGAACTTTTAAAAAAATGATGTTTAAATAATGTTTAAATTTTTATTTAAAAAATAAAATTACAATAACTTGACACTTGTCCTACAACGAGATTTTTTAACTATCAATATAATCGATACACCTAAAGTAAAAAAATTATAACGTTAAGTATATGGATAAATAAAAAAAGAGTTTGAACACTTATTTTATAATTAATTTAAATAAAAAAATTTAATTTAAATATTCAATTTTTTTAGTTAAAACAAATGCTTAACCATTTTAAAGTTAATTTTGTCACCATCATAAAATAAAATTATGAAAAATTAATAATTAATGTTTGACACGAAATATATTATTTTAATTTTTTTTAAAAATAAAAATAAAAATCATTTTTTTTTCTAAAAAATCACTTGAAATTTGTAAAGTTCTTTATATACCTTCAAAATTGAGTTTATTTCGTTATTAGCCACCATCACCGTGAGAGAACACTGATCAATGTCAAAAGCCATTGTCCATTTTCCAATTTAATTCGGCTGTCACCGAGGAGAGTGGATTCCCCATCAACAAGAGGACATGAGATGATCATTTCGAGACACATGACGACCAATAGGCATTTCCGACGAGACTTGAGAAAGTAACTCGAATTAGACTTATTGATTGTGAATTTGAAGTATTTGAGATTTAGTAACTTAAGGAATTAGTAACTTGAGGAATTAGGGAAGTTATATCGTACGATAGTTTTAATATACGATTAAGAAAAGATGTTATCAATTTTATTAATTTTTTTAACAAAATCGGTAAAAAATTATCAAAAATATTATTATTTCTACCCAAAATATTATTGAGCGTTTTACCGAGTTTAGTAATATATCTAATAAAGCGCTATCTAAAACATTATTTTTTCTACCTGATATATTACCAAGTCGGGTAAAGTGTTCATTAATAATAAAATCAATAAAAATAATAATATTTTTTATAATTTTTTTATCGATTTTATTAAACAAAAATAATAAAACTAATAACACATTTCTTTAATAATTGCCGTACGTAAGACTTCCGAAGAATTAGGAAATGACTAAGAATGAAGGTTTGGTAACAATCGAGTAGACATCAACGAGTACATACAACAGAATTGATGCTTTAGGATTAATAATTTTATTTCTTCTTAGAATTTAGAAAAACTTAACTTTTCCATTTAAAATTTAAAATTTTATAAATAAATTATATCCCATGCTCTGTTCTGGATGATGAACGAATATTTTTTTAACTACTGTTAACGGTGAACGTACATAATCAATTACGTCTCATACTTTACTAAAAAACTGATGGTAAACTACGTATTTAGTATATAAATTATTAGTTTTAGTTTGTTTTAGTACTTAAATTTTTAATGTTTTTTAAAATCATATCTAATATTTATTTTTTATTTCATTTTAGTACCTCCACCGTTAAAAACTTAACATGTTTAGTACGTAAACTATCAGGTTTGATATGTTTTAGTATCTAAACTTTCAATTTTTTCAAAATTAATCATTATATTTTGAATGAGGTACTAAAATGAAATAAAAACAAAATTTTAGGTATAATTTTGGAAAAAAATGAAATTTTAGGTATTAGAACGGATCAAAACTGATAATTTATATACTAAACACGTAATTTACCTAAAATTTTAAACATCTTTTTTAACATTTATTTTTGGAAAAAAGTAGGGGTGTAAATGATCTGAGCTTGAACGAACAAGGTTATGTTCATGTTCGTTTGCTTATTTTTGAAGGTTTTCGTGTTCGTTTAAATTTTCAATATCGTGTTCGTTTATTTATTTTTGAAGGTGTTCATGTTCGTTTATTTCTTGTTCACGAACATGTTCATTTAATGTTCGTGAACTTGTTCGTTTATATGTTCATGAACATGTTCATTTAACGTTCGTTTATATGTTCATGAACACGTTCATGAACATGTTTGTTTAGCGTTCATTTAGTGTTCGTTTAGCGTTGTTTTAGTGTTTGTTTATCGTTCGTTTATATATTCATTTTTTAATTTCATTTGCAAGCTAAACAAATGATAAAATTATGCCATTGGTGCTTAAACTCATTAAAATTCATAGTTTAAAATACAACTTTTATCATATGTTCTATTTAATCCTTATATTCATCAAAATTTAAAATGTAAAATATAAAATATAAAAGGAAAATGAGAATTGGGTAAACGAGTTTGTTTCAAGTTGATAAACGAACTCATAAATGAGCTTATAAATGAGCTTATTCATGAGCATAAACGAACCAAACACGTCTTTGTTCATGCTAATTCATTTATTAAATGAACATTACTTTTTTTTGTTCATGTTTGTTTATTTAGCTTAACAAACGAACATAAACGAACGTTATACGAACGATTCACGAACAGTTCACCGAACGTTCTGTTCATTTACACCAGTAGAAAAAATACATAAGAGATCCATGTTCTTTTAAAAAAAACCATTTGTTGCCCTTGTATTATTTCTTCTCACAATGTGACACTCAAACTTAAAAAATAAACTCAATATGGCCCTTTACCAACGTTTTTCATCATATGACTATTATGATACTGATGTGACAGTTCATAGTGTTGACATGGCAATTTACGGTACTGACATGACAATTCATCTACCACGTTTGAATTATCAATTTAGTTCATCTACCATGTTACACGCCACATTATCAACCACTTCGGATAGATACACGTCAACTCCATAGATCGTCACATCAACTTTCGTATCAGTACAATAACGATTGAATGATGAAAACATTGGTTAAAAGATCACATTAAACTTATTTTTTTGGTTAGAGGACTAAATTAAAAAAATGATGTGATTGTCACATTAATTTCTTTTAAAAGCACAACAACCTCTATGTATTTTCTATTTTATTTTTAATGAAATTGATAAATTATAATCTTGAGATTGTTGTAAATCCATGACCACATTTAACTGGGACCATACGTTTCCCTCAGCTGGGTTTATGTGGTTGGACCGTCTATACACATTTGGGATTTCATTGAAAATGGAACGATATGCACATGGCACTGAGATCAAGAATGATGGTTGCTAAGAGGGGAATTTGGGAACACCTAACCTTTGTTGGGAATGAGGTTGGATCTTCCTCATGGGTAATTGGGGGGGACTTCAATATTATTGCAAAAGCAGAGGAGAGCTCTGATTTTGATATTATGGGTATTCACTGCACCCCTGACATGAAAGACTTTCAGGATTGCTTGGAGAATCTTGACCTCATGGACCATCCGTTTATTGGGCCATTATTTACATGGTCGAACAAGCAGGATGAATCTTATTTAGCTCATAAATTAGATAGGATGTTAGTCAATGATCAGTGGCTGCTTGATCACCCCTGATTCTTTTGCTGAATTTGCTGCCCAAGGAGTTTCTGACCACTGCCTTGGTTTACTCTGGTCACACAAGGATGGCATGACCAAGAGACCTCGCCTTTTTAAATTCTTTAATTGCTGGACCGGGCATGAGCAATTCTTGGGTATTGTTAGAGATACTTGGTATGGACAGAGTGGGGATAATGCCATGAGCTGCTTGTTCCTCAAGTTGAAAAGGCTCAAGCCCCGTCTAAAGGAATTGAATAAGGAGTACTCTTTTGATATCTCTGGCAGGGTAAGTAGCAAAAAGGCTGAATTAGAATTGGCTCAAATTTTTAATCTGACTCACCCGGAGCAGCGAAAAGTTGATGATGAGAGGAGGATTCAAGCTGAGCTAGTGGATTTGGAGATTGCAGAATCTATTTTCTACAAGCAAAAAGAAAAAGCTCACTGGCTTAGGGAAGGTGATTTAAACACCAGATTCTTTCATCAGAGGACACAAGTAAATCAGAAAAAGAATACAATCAGATTAGTTATGGGTGAGGATGGACAGAGATATGATACCTTTGATGGTATGGCTGCAGAGTTAGTGAAGTTATTCACTAATCTTATTGGCTTCACTGACCCTTTGGTTAAGGGTTCTCCTATTGAGAGTTTGAAAGATTTACTGAGGTATTCTCTGCCTGATGGAGCTGTTTCTTTTCTCACTAAGGAGGTTAGTAATTTGGAGATTAAAGAGGCTTTATTTAGGCAAGGGAATGACAAAGCCCCGGGTCCAGATGGCTTTACTTCTGGTTTTTTTCAAAGCTGCATGGGAAATTGTGGGCAGTGACTTTATTTCTGCCGTGAGGTATTACTTTTAAACTTATTTCTTGCTGCCTGCTTTTAATGCTACAACTTTAATGTTGGTTCCAAAGTCCTCAAATGCTTGTTTTGCAAAAGATTTTAGACCGATATCTTGTTGTTCTGTAGTCTATAAAACTATAACTAGAATCCTTGTAGATAGACTTGTTCCCTACTTTCTTGAAATGATTTCCAAGAATCAGACAGCTTTTGTTAAGGGCAGGAATATAGTGGATAACACTTTGTTGGCTCAAGAAGTGGTTAGAGGATATTCAAGGAAAAATCTTTCTCCTCGGTGTGCTATTAAAATAGACCTCCAGAAGGCTTTTGACTCTGTTAATTGGGATTTTTTGCTGAACATTCTTAGAGCAATGGGTCTTCCTGAAATGTTTTGCAATTGGATCAGTGGTTGCATTACTACTCCTATGTATTCTGTTTCTTTGAATGGCAGCCTGGTGGGGTTCTTTAAGGGGGACAGGGGGATTAGGCAGGGTGACCCATTGTCACTCTATCTTTTTGTTATAGTGATGAATGTGTTGTCTTCTCTCTTGAATATTACTGCTATGAAGGGTGTTTTTAAGTATCATCCCAAATGCAAACGAATCCAACTCACCCATCTTTGTTTTGCGGATGATCTATTGGTCTTTTGTCATGGTTCTCTTGAATCTGTGCTTGGAGTCCAAAGTACTTTGGAAATGTTTTATGACAGGGCTTAAGTTAAATGTCTTGAAAACTGAATTCTTTGTTTGTGGCTTGAGTGAAAACACCATTGATCAGATCCGGTTAGCTACTGGCTTTAGAGTGGCTCAGCTTCCAGTTCGGTATCTTGGGGTTCCCCTAGTCACTCGAAAGCTCACTGGTAAGGACTGCACTGCTCTGCTTGAAAGAATTAAGGATAAGTTGAGCCAATGGTCCAGCAAAAAAACTCAGTTTTGGAGGGAGATTGCAGCTTGTTAAGTCGGTCATCTTCAGCATTTTTAATTTTTGGTGTAGGCAGCTTATCATACCTAAAGGGATCATTAGGGATGTTGAGAGGCTTTGTATGCGGTTTTTTTGGAAGGGTTGTGACGCCTCGGCTAGAGGAGCCCGTGTAGGCTGGAACCAAATTTGCTCCCTTAAGTTTGAGGGTGGTTTGAGACACAGGGATCTTTCTCTTTGGAGCAAATCTTGTTGTCTGTTGCTTATAAGAAATATCTTAGCGGAGGAAGGCTCATTGTGGATCGCCTAGGTGAAAGCTTATTGTTTTCAATCTGCGAATTATTGGGAAGCAATTTGTAAACCCCACTTCAGCTGGATTTTGGCTAAACTTTTGAGGCTGCGAGATCTTGCGAGTAATCTGTTTTCTCCTGGTACTAATTTGCGCCTTATTAAAGGCATATGGGTATGGGACTGTATTAGAGTTAGAAGGGAGAAGGTGAGTTGGCATAAGCTTATCTGGTTCACGTCCCATATTCCCAAATTCTCCTTAATCTCGTGGATGGCCATCCTCGATCGACTGCCAACTAAAGACAAGCTTTCCCGTTTTGGTTTAACTGTTGATGTTGCTTGTTTGGTATGTGGTTCGGACTCTGAATCAAGGGATCACTTATTTGCTGCTTGTCCTTTTGTTATGGATGTTTGGAACACTGTTATAAGCCTTTGTGGTACTCGTTGTGCTGCTCTTACCTGGGATCAACGCCTTAGCTGGATGGTTGGAAACCTGAA